CATTTCGCAAATTCTATGGTTGATACAATGGCCTTGTCAGCAAATACAACCTATCATTAGGTCGAATGTTGACTGACGTTTTAATACAAATTGCTAGGCCATTATTCTTCACTTTTTCACACTGAATTGTCTACGGATTTTTCCGTTTGCCCGATGATGACAAAGCACACACGGCGGATGTGACAGTGACAGTGGAAGCTTACACCTTCATGACACTTGATCCCACCTCTGATGTTTTTAGAGGTTTGTGTTTGCTCTGCTCCAAATTGGTATTGTTTCATTGGACTTTTGAGATTGCATACTGTTCGTTATCTTCATATTCCATTTCGAAAATCTCGGTCATTATAAAAGCTTATTAGCAAATACATTTAGTAATTTCAGAACCTTATCTTTAACATTTTAGAAAAATCATTATTTTTACAGATACGGAAATGAAGGCAATAGACGGTACAAATGTATAACTGTTTACTGAATTACATATGTGTTCGAACAGAATTGTAATTTCTTCTTTTGACAAGACTTATCATTCCACTGATAAAGGACAATATCCAGACAAAAGATGGTACATGTATACACCACATGGATCAAGTGTGGGGGCAAGATATGGATATCTGAGGAACTTATTTTAATTATTGACTCCATTCCGTTGAGGTTTCACGAGTTTTACGTACGGTTTATTTTAAAATTGCTTGCATCTCAACCTTGTTTGCCATATGTACTGGAATAAGTACTTGTTCCTTTGGTTTTAATGAAAATGATCCAAACTTCTCTTAAACATCATTTATTAGCTCTACTGGTCAGGACCAGAAGAGCTTATGCGATAGTAAGGTGTCCGTCGTCCGTGCGTCTGTCTGTCCGTCAGTCTGTCTGTCCATCCGTCTGTAAACAATTTTTCAAAACACTACTCCTCCTACAGTTCTGGTCTGATATAAGTATAACTTGGCACACAAGTAGACTATACTAAGATACATAATTCTATGTATCGGTTTTTGATTTCGGTGAACGTTGTTGCCATGGTTACTAAAAATAGAAATTTCTGTGAAATACATTCAAAACGCAACTCCTCCTACAGTTTTGATCTGATTTCATTACAACTTGGCACACAAGTAGACTACACAAAGATACATAATTCTGTGTATCCGTTTTTGATTTTGATGAACGGTGTTGCCATGGTTACTAAAAATAGAAATTTCCTTGAAATACATTCAAAATGCTACTCCTCCTACAGTTTTGATCTCGTTTCAATATAACTTGGCACACAAGTAGACTACACAAAGATGCATAATTCTGTGCATCCGTTTTTGATTTTGATAACGGTGTTGCTATGGTTACTAAAAATAGAAATTTCCTTGAAATGCTTTCAAAATGCTACTCCTCCTACAGTTTTGGTCTGATTTTAGTATAACTTGACACACAAGTAGACTTCACTAAGATACATAATTCTCTACACCAGTTTTGGATTTTGATGAACGATGTTGCCATGGTTACTTAAAATAGAAATTTTTTGAAATACTTTCAAAACGCTACTCCTCCTACATGTTTTGTCTGATTCAGTATAACTTGGCATACAAGTAGACTACACTGAGATACATAATTGTCATTATTGCTTTTTGATTTTGTTGAATGATGTTGCCATGGTTACTTAAATCGAAATTTCTGTAAAATTATTTTAGACACATTTGCTATTTCAGAAAATTACATGTTTCTACACTGTTAATATCATGGAATTAAAAAAAAATTAAACCTCTCTCTCTCTCTCTCCATATTTTATATGGGATATAAAAAATATTCTTTAAAACAATGATAATTTATCAAATCAATATGGATGCATTTCCATATGGTGTAGTTTGAAGTCGATTGGTATTGTCAATTTATCATAACAGACAGATCATTTAGGTCGAAAGATTGAGTCCAACATATCATCGCTGTATCCTCAATTTACCTCAGGTGAGCATTTTCGCTCTCGCCTCTTGATTTATTATTCTTAATCTGTTTAACCCCCCCCCCCTGCTTTTTTTCTCAAAAAAGAGAAAAATATATTCTTCTAAAATTTACAAGGGGTCCTTTTTCTTTACGTAAGTTTTGCAGATTTTAAGGTTGAATCCACTTTTTCTACAGGCAAAACGGTCATTTTTCGGCGTCAAATAATGACCCCGGTCATAATTCTATAGGGGTCATTATTCGTCTTTTACACCTGTCCGAAATTTGCAAACTATTGACCGGCGTGCGGTCCAGTAGATCACTTTGAAGTTTCTTCGATAGTTTTTTATTTAAACAGAATTTTATTCACAGAAGAAGTGAATGGGATTGGGCAGCAGATAAAGCCTATTTTAGCCCTCTCCCTACAGCAAAGTCAGGGTAAACACACACTCTATGGGTATAAACAATGTAGAAAAAGAAACAAGGTAGAAGGAGGAAAAAATACAATAAGGTCAAATTTAAAATAATCTTTGTTTGCCCTCTCCCGACTCGGGATGAAAAAATTGGTTCGGTAGGTAGTAGGGAAATTTTTTTATAGAAAATTTCAATGCCAAATTTTCAAAATCTATTTTCCGAAATGAATAAAAATAGTCGCTTCCTGGAGGTTAAAAAAGTTTTGAGTCGGGCCATTTTGAGCCAGTCGGTCGTGAGAAGTCAATCAAACAATTTTTAGGTCACCTGAGTCACACAGGTGACCTATTGCTATCTGTTTTCGTCCGTCGTCGTCCGACGTGCGTTGTGTGAGAACATTTGAATATTTTCAGCTTCTTCTCTATAACCGCTGAACCAATTTCAGCCAATTTTAACATATGGCATTTATGGGTGAAGCGGAAGAAAAATTGTGAATTTCATGGTCCCTGCCCCCCTGGGGCCTGAGAGGTGGGGCTAAACCATCAAAACTAATGCAATCTTTAAAAATCTTCTTCTCTTCTCCTGGACATCAAGCAGTCAAACTGTTGGCATGATTGTAATAAGCATTGAGCCCTCTATCAAAATTGTGAAATTTATGGCCTCAGGGGTTCTGGTTCTGGGGCGGGGCTTTAGTATTATATAGTGAAAATGCATTAATTCTTTTAAAATCTTCTTTGCTCCTGGATATTCAGCAAATGAACTAAGTACATAGTTATGATGAGGAAGAGTGCCACTTCCAAAATTGTAAATTCCATGGCCCCAGGGTCAGGGTTTCTGGTGATAGGGTGGGGCTCTAATGATTATATAGTAAAGATGCATTAATTCTTTGAAAATCATCTCTGCTCCTGGGTATTAAGCCGATGAACTAAGTACATAGTTATGATGAGGAGGAGTGCCACTTCCAAAACTGTGTATTTCATGGCCTCTGGGTCAGGGGTTCTTGTGTTAGGGCGGGGCTCTAATAATTATATAGTTTAAATGCATTGATTCTTTGAAAATCTTCTCCTATGCTCCTTGGTATTAAGCCGATGAATTCAGTACATAGTTATGATGAGGAAGAGTGCCTCTTCCAAAATTGTGAATTGCATGGCCCCTAAGTCAGGGGTTCGGGGGGGGGGCTTATTTATTATATAGTGAAAATGCATTAATTCTTTGAAAATCTTCTCCTCTGCCTCTTGGTATTTAGCAAACAAACTAAATGCAATAATATCAATGTAAATGTATTAAATAAATTATAAGTAAATGTGCCTTTTCTTTGCTTCTCGGTATCTAGGAGGCAAACAGAGTACACAATTGTAATAAGTGAAGCAAATGAGAGTTACTCCCTTTTGCTAGATGTTGTTAATCAAGAAATCCTTGTATATAATTTAATTAATAGGTTATTTGATTGAATGAGAATACAAGAATGTTATATATATATATATATATATATATATATATAGAAACAAAAAGAATGTTTGGTTTAAAAGAGCAAAGCATTTTCAAAGTCAGATTCTTGCCTGGAAAGCAATATAAAAGATTGACATAAGGATTAATTGTATATTTAGCAAAAGTTGTAATTGTACATAGTATGTTTACATTGTGGTGTTCTGTTTGACAGTAGATGAGTTATTGTCACTGCTAGAGTCATGGTTGACAAGAGACTGGACGAAATTGTTTTATACTTTATCAAATGGAACTAAGAATCACAGAGAGCCAGGGTGACTTATTGTGACAAGTGGCAAATAGCCACGCTGTATACCCAAGTCTGTTTGTACTTAATTGTAGCACTAGGCAAGTGACAAAAACATATCTGTATATATTGAACACCTTACAAAATAGGCAAGTGTCCATTGTCTTTATATATTTTGCGTTCATTATCATCCCTGTAAGACTTGGGGAAACCAAGTATGATCCTAAGGAGATCACTTGGGTCTAACACCTTACAATTAGCAAGGGTATTTTTACCAGAGTTTTGAATTTCTTGGGCAACATTGCTTCATCTTTTTGTTAATTTTGTTATATACTTCTATGGATCCTTTACAGTGTTGTATTATACTCAGGTGACGTTAAGGCCCTTAGGCCTCTGGTTTAATGATGGTTTAAAGTACTACATATTTGATAAAACAGCAAAATCAGTTGTATTAGGTAATTATAAATTATGGTATTTTATCAAACATCACGGTATTAAATGCTATGTACACGTATGTCTTTTTCAAAACTCAAAACAAAAATAAAAAGAATAACGACGTCTTTTTCAAGTATTAATTCGAATTTAGTTTTGTACACTGTTGATTCGCTGAAGCAAAAGATGGTAGATGTGATAATCCTTCGGCACTTTTCAGTAGCAGGTGTACTATTGATTATAGGTACATATTTACATTATCAGAGAAGCTCAATGCACGTCGATGAGTGTTGATCTTGTGTTGTGGCGAGTTCATTTGCGGCCAGGTCGTCACGGATTGCAAGGACAAATCTGCAACTCTGCAGTTTTGAAACTTTCAGTTGTTGATTAACCTATCGTCGTTCAAGGTGTTCATCCAAATCTTTTGCTTTATTGAAGTTGTGGCCCTTATGATCATTATATACTTACGCTAGTTTAAAAGTGTTGAATGCGTTGCATTATAGATGACTCGGAAACCCTCATCGACGGATGCGGGAGCCTGATGTATTGTTTTGGAATGGTATTTATTCAGTGCTGAAGTCCGTTTAGATATTTGTTTGACTGGGAAGAGATAGACAGATAGCATTAGTCAGGTGATACACAAGAGGAAATAATTAACTTAATTGGTTCAGTGCATGAATTAAGTTACTGTTAGCACAGAGGGTTAAACATTGTATCCATCAACCTTTCGCCACACGGTTTTCATTGCCTTTTACCAGCCTTGAAATCCGTGTTAATCAACATACATCTATGACCAAGAAGATTCATTCTAAATACTGAATTGACAAGGTATGTAATTATGAATTATGTGGTTTTAACATAATTTTCAAAAATTCAATTTACCTTTTCTCTCAAATTAAAAACAAACATAATATTTTTTATATTACATTCTGTATAAATTACTTTCCTTAAGCACATTCTATGCATTTGCTTGAGATCAAACAAAAGCCACTGTGGCATTGAAGATTGTTAGCAATGCTCATATTGCATTTGAGTCCAAAAAATGATAACATGATGTGATGTATTTATATACATTTTGGTATATTAATATAGTATATTTACAGTAAACATGTAAAATTACCGGGTATTATGATAAATATACTTCATATTTATACAAAAGGAACATAAAATTAATCACACTAACATTTAAAGAAAAATAGTTGGAAATTAGCAATCACAGGTTCATTTCCATTATTGTATACCTTAGTTATGTAATTGTTTTGTTTCGTGGCCTACTAAATTACTCTAATAAATATCCATAATTTGTAAGAAAAAAGATAATAATTAATTCTATTCTATTGACTTGAGTTTGATAATTGTTCAGTACTTAATATGAGCGGTGCTCAAGTTGATTCGTTTATACTCTTCTGTATTTTATATGGGAGCCTTGAAAATATACACTCATTATGTTCATATCAGAATATACATTTTATTCGATTTTTTACAGATCTAAAACCATCAACGTTTAATAAAATTTGGTGTTTTGGTTGCAATCAATCCATAAAGGTAAATATTCAGATAATAGGTTTATTTATATCCTACAGCATTTTCCGGGCTTTTCTATGTAATCCTTATGCTTTACAAGTTAGTCGTGGATAGCCACGGATAAGTCATCGTCGAAAATACACAAGGGGGAAGATACATTATCAAGAGAGTTTGTATTCATCTTATCTTGAAAGAGCATTAGTGTGTTTACAGAATCAATATTTTACCATCTGTGCTATATACAGAATATATTCAAATCTATATACTTAAGCCATGTTAACAATTCTCTGCTCAACTGTAGTGAAATACGTACATTTTATCATTCCAATTTAATGCTTAATTTATAAAATAATTCAATATCTACATGTAGATTCAATTCAGGGTTTTCGTTTGAATAAAACGACCTTTTTATGATCGCAATTCACTTGACAAATTGTCCTTCGTTCATTTTGCATTTCCTTATTTTTCACCTTTTCGAGGTTAATTTAAAAAAATAATGGAAAAATTGGGAATTAAAATTTTCATAAGGTTTACGGGATCAGAAAATTCATAATTTTTTGTAATTTTTTTCTTATTAAATAGTAGTCGTGTGTAAAGCATGGGGTTCGGGAGCTACATTTCTTTCTTATTATAACGCACAAAGAATGTATCCAAAATATTGATCTCAGGAACAGCAATTAAAGCTTCAAAATATTCATTTAAAATTCTAGACTGTATAGATCATGAACACATTGACAATTGGGAGGTCGAGAGAGATCCAAAATTAATCCAAAATAATGGAATTATGCAGAATATCTCTTTAAAACATTTTAAAGATACATGCTCGTAAGCTACAAGACCTCATATTAAGCATGGACATGATGTAGTTTAGATTTAGTTAAATGTCCTAAGAGAAAAGATTAGATAGTAGGAAACATTTTATCATGACCAAGTCAGATGCTTTTCATATTTTAACAAATGCAATTTCAAATAAATAAATAAATATAAAAGACTTAATATGTAATTTTCGTTCAACATATGCAAAACTGAATTTGACACGAAGTGGGAAAACACTAAGGGCTTTTCCAATTTGTTGGAGATTCTGAGTAATGCCAATAAATGTATGTTCACTTGTTTACAGAATGGCCAATAACCTGTGAAGATCTTAGCACTCTCGAGAAAATTTACATATTGACAGATTTAATAAATTAATAATTTATCTTATTTATTACAAGTTGATCAGCAATCGATACGAGCTTTCTCTCCGAGTATCTATAATATGTTGGAAAATGCAATTAGTACACGGTACAAATGTACCATGAGGACAATTATGTTCAATACATGCGTAGAGAACCAATGATTCGCACTGAATTTTTCCAGAAGGAGAGTTAACACAATGAAGAAAATAATATAAGAAAAGAAGTTGATTCATTTCTCCAGCAGAGTATTTTAATAACAGTTATTAAACTTTATGGTGGCTGAGTTACATTTATAATATACATTTCTTTGGTTGAAGGTAGCTGCATCATGTCTATGGATAGACAGTTTTTAGTGGCTGTGTGTTTACTTCAGGTAGTGGGATGCAGTAACGTCAGTCAAAGGTAAGTAATACAAACAGGGGGGAAACAATGTTTAACAACTAAATAAAACCAAATGACAAGTAGAGTACACTTAGTTTTTATTCAAATTAAAATACACTCAAATGGAAACAAAACAATTTGCAGAAAATTTGACGAATAAAAAATACATGTACCCAATGGAATACGAGTGGTACTTTACATGTTTTCTTAAAAATCAGGTTTAGTTCACTGTTTGTTGATAGCAACATAAAATAATTTATGAATGGTTTAATAAACAAAAATGTACAGATTTTTTTGGTCAGAATGATCAACATACGAAAAGTAATGCTTTTGCAAAACAGGTACATGTGTAAAATGATTTTCGTAGTTAACAATTCAGTTAGAGGCTTATTAGCTACCACACAAACAATAGTCTATACTAGCCATCTTTAAACAGATTTTTTTTTGCACTCTCCCTACTCAGGATAAAAGAAATTGCTTCAGTAGATAAGTGGAAAAATTTTCTTTACCCAGAAATTTTCAACATCAATGCTGAATTTTCAAAATCTATTAAAATTGAAGGTATTAATAAAATTAAAATAGTTGTTGATGGGATAAGAAAATTCAAGAATGAATTCTAAAGACCTGTTTCCTGGTGGCTTGAAAATGATTTGAGTCGGGTCATTTTTCGTCACTCAGTCAGGAAAGGACAAACACTTTTTAAAGTTGGCCTCGCTGATCAAATTTTAACAAATAAAACTGTATTTAGTATTGTGTTTCCATAACGACATTTTTTCGATGCCATTACATATAGTTCTATCCTGATTACCGGTCTTCTCTGCCATATTTAATTTTCACTTTTTTCTAATGCTTACAAATCGATTTGCCAGATTGTAGTTTTCCTGTTCTTCAAAAAATATTTAAAGTTTATCCTTATTCTAATTTTTAATAACAGGAGAGATTCCTGTAACTTAATTGTCTGAAATAGGGTCTGCTTTACTAAGGATTATTTGCAACAATTTGATGGAAATTAAATAGGCGCTTTGAATTTCAGATCTCAAAAGTGTGAAATATTGAATTGAATATTGACAATAGACAATTAAATATCTTAGTTGCTTTGATGAATTAAAGACCCAAAAGTGCATTACTTTTCGGACATTACACGGTTTTGGAAGAGAGAAATTTATTCTGGCAAACGATCAGATTGTTTTCTTTGTGTTGGCCGTCTGGCCACACATTAATGCTATGTTTCATAATAAAATACAGTTGTGACTTTTCTTCAATGCTGAAAATATAAGAAAGGAATTTCGTTACAGACAATCCCGACAACAGATACGTAAACACTATGGCAGACACACAGGGGATGTGGTAGTGATTATCTTCTTCCTTTAAATAACCGTTTATTGAAAACACGATTAAAAATAGGACTTTAGCATAAAATACTAAAATTCACTTACAGAGATGTTATGAATGCGGCTTTGCATTTCTTGAAAATTTCAAACATCATTGTTATTGAGAATTAAAACTTTTTCAATATCTGTACTTGATGTAGGAAGTTCCCTTTGTACTAATATTTTTAATCAACGAAGAAATGCACGGATCTTGTCCTCTCTTTTTCAAAGTATATAAGGTGATACATGATAGAATGGATAAAAATGTTATAGAACTCTTCAAATGCGAAAGAATAATAACAAATAAAGTCAGTTCCTTATTGTACTTCACACAAATCTTGTGACAATAAGATATCTCAAACAATACAGCCTAGGAAATTAAAGATTTACGGAACTTCAATTAATTAATTACATTTATGGAACTTTTAGTTAATATATATCAATGTCTATATGGGCATCACTTATTATGTTCCCCAAACGAAGTTTGGGAACATATTGTTTTTACTCTGTTTCTTATTATTATTATTATTAAGGTCTTCCGTTTCAGACGGAAGACCTTATAGTGATTCTACTGTTTATTATTAAGGTCTTCCGACTTCAGCGGAAGACCTTACTGTTATTCTTAGGTTTCTTTTCCACTATTTTTATTATTGTTTTTTTTTCCTACCGATTTTGTGCACGCGAGTTCTCGGAAACGGCTCGCCCGATTTTCATGAAACTTTCAGGTCTGATAGAGAATTAAAAAATCTAGATATATATTTTTTTATTTTGATGACGTCACTTCCGGTCCGGAGATTTTCGAGATTTGGTGATTTTAGAGGGTTAGTTTGTCCGGGCATTTTCAAGAAAAGCACTTAACACAGGAACGTGAGATTTTCAGTGATGATAGAGCAACATATGTAGATTTGTACTTGGAAGTTCATTTTTACCCGAAATACCAAACATCAACGTCCGCTACTGCCCAAATTTTTATCTTCTTTTTCCTACTTGTTAACTTTGATGCCTCATATCTTGCTTATTTCTCAAGGGATTTTAATAAAAATTTCAGAGTTTATAGACGTTACAAAACTCTATCAGAATAATATAATATTTTTCCAAAATTCACTTTTGCTTTTGAGTTATTTCCCTTTAAGTGAAAATTTAGGGTCTTTAATTTCCAGACAAATATTCCGAGACTACGAAAGTTGGAACATAAATACTACTGAATATAAGAAACAGAAGCAATGAAGTTGTGAACATTGGTTTTTGTTTTTTGATTTCTGCGTTCAAACTGCCGCTAGATAGGGGTCAAAAATTAGGACGCATGAAAGAGCAAACATTGACACATGTTTTCCTTTGTATCTTTTAAATAAGAAATATTTTATTAAGACATGTAGAATAAAAGTTGTGTACAATTTAATTACCTTTTATTTGACACCACTAAAAAGGAGCTGGCCCCTTAAATTAGGGATCTAGGGCCCTTGAAAGTTTTTGCTTTATAACTCAAAAACGAGAAAATATTTCGATATGGCTGTCGATAAAAAATTGTTCCTTTATACCTTCTTTGTCTCATGAAAACATTATTTTGTTCGAGTCTTGTGTATGGTAAGGAAAAAAAGCTAGACCCGTAAACAAGGACCCGTTTTCATTTGGCTAGTGAAGAAGAACTCTTTATGCGTATAACTGAAATAAACTTGCCATAAATAATATATCTTTCAACGCTGTATCCTAATTTTTTTAAATTAGGCTTTAAACGTGCTCTTTGGTTCCTGTTCAGATTATTCGGTGACAACTTTCTCTCTTTATTGTGTTTTAAAGTAAAGAACCTTCCAAGAGAGAAACAGAAAAAAGTACAAGTATCTTTTCTTTGTTCAAATATGAAAGCAAACAGTATAAACGCCAAAAAAATTTAAGAGTCAAATAATTCACAATCATTAACTGCGTGATTCTTACATTCATCTGAACCCCAGATTCTATTCTGTTTACCGTTACGTAACCCATCCCTCGATCACGCGCGGCCGAGAAGATCTAAAGCGATCCACCGCGTGTGAAGCATTGACCCACAGTCGTAAACAAAATAAAAATCGGCGTATGAAGTCTATTTTGTAAACACGACAATTAATGAACAATTATTAATATCGAATATTTGAGATTATGTTGGTTTATCTTTGTTTTAAACATGTTAAATTTGATCATGATACATGTAGCCTTAATCCAGAACGTCTAGCCAGGTTTTGTGTTTGTTTACAATTACGCAACCATTAACCATTCCTTCGATCGCTTGTGGTCAAAGCAGTCCATCGTGTGCATGTAAACCAGTGCGCAGTCATCAAACATTGTTGTTCTAAATCTAATTTACAAACACAACGACTTACGGGAAAATATTATTTTCTTTAAGTAAATCGAATCTTTCAAATAAACTATCTTAATATCTTAGATTTGATTTAAGTACAAAACGCTAAGCATTTAATCAGTCTTAAATTTTAAATATTCGTTATCTCCGTATTTCGATTGTTTTAACGTTACCAACAATTTATTTCCCATCTGCGGTTACTTTAATATAACCATTAAACACACAAGCTTTGCGCTTTCTCTGCGTTTTGAAACAGTAAATTAATTCGTTTTCAACACAAATGTTTCCAGTCATTTTTTTTTCATCACAGGTTTTTATCGTGATTATACCAACTTCAAACTTTTAAAGAGAATCTTCCGAATCATAAGGGTGACCAGTCTTACTTTAAAAATGATTCGTTATTTTGAAAAGTAAACAATGAAATGGATTAAACATTGATAGGTAACTCGAAATACTTCGAAAGTATTACGTAGACCCCCCCCCCCTTTCCCAAACTTTGAAATAAATGACTAAAAAAGATCTTCCTTCTATGAAGGAAGATATTTTATCTGTTGAGTATTGAGTTTAATTTTATTGAATGTAAAGAACTCCGTCTATCCTTAATAAAAAGGAAGCGACTCCATCTTGTATAAAATTTTAACATCCGGTAATGTTAAAACATTCGGGGTTGTTTTTCCGACCTCTGACGGAAACGCCCGAGATGATGCGATTGCGGAATCAGGATTTTTAAACATCTTCATTAGACAGTTTCGCTTATTTTGCACTACAGGGTTTTTGAAAAAAAAATGTGTTGATCGACATCCGAATAAAATGGTAATTAAATAGAGTGCCAAATATATCATTGGCGAAAATTTGTTTTATAAAAAGTGTTTCTTACAAAGAGATTTATATATGTACGTGTAGCTAACCCTAAATAGCTAAAGATTTATTGGTTTTGTCTATAGCAGATGTTAATTTAGTTCTTAGCTGACATTAACTTACGTGTATAAATAAATATAAAAGCCAATTGTATGTATGTATGAATGTATGTTGTTTAACGTCCCTCTCGAGAATTTTTCACTCATATGGAGACGCCACCACTTGCCAGTGGAGAGCTGCAAATTTTATCCTATACTCGGCACTTACGGCCATTGAGCAGTGAGGGATCTTTTTCGTGCCAGCACCTACTGCGACACGGGACCTCGGTTTATACGGTCTCATCCAAAGGACCGGTCTCCATGTCCCACAGTGGGATTCGAACCCGCGACTTAAGGATCAACTCCTTACTCCGCGACTCTAGAGCAGACGCTCTAACCACTGCGCCACGTGGGCGACCCATG